TCCCTGCAGTTACAGAGGAAAGCCACGAAGAGCCAGCATTTCAGAATTTTATGCAAGAATCAGTGACACAGTGCTGGAAGAGAAACAAGTAGGACCTCTCGCTGCTTCCCGTAGGATCTCACTCGTTCTAGAAGTCTGAAATTTGGATCTCTGTAGAGACTCCTTCCTGTGATTCCGGCTGCAATCAAGAGCAGTCTTCTTCAGGATAGCAGTTTTTTTGAGGAAAATATGGCTCAGCTGTGCCAGGGTTAGAAGACATGGAGCTGGCAGGTGGGTGCCAGTCCTTGGTTGGCCTTTCATAGTGTTTATGCAAGGAAGAGTATATCACTGCTCTGGAAGCTGGTAATGCTGCAGCCGAAAACTTCACGTTTCATCATTTGAACTCAAGTACTTTGCTGCTGATGGAACAGAGAGCACGTACTGTTCTGATGACGACCTCAGATGTTTACTAGGCGGATCAATGAGTTTTCTTAGCATTGTGCTCTTAACTCTGCACCTTGAGTTGCTATTCTTTTAGCAAATGGGACAGGGGAAATGAGCTTGTTCAGAGTGTCAGTGGAATGCCCTTGGCAACCAGTGTTGGTATGAGATGTGCCTTGCACAGGTAGCACATTATAAAGAAAACTGTTTGAATGGTGACTTGGGTGAAGTTTTTATTTTATCTTTGTTGTAAGCCTGCCATCCATGATTTCAAATTAGAACATTATGTAATCATTATTAAATTCACCACTGTTAGTTACAATAGAGGTTTAAAGGCAGCTATCCAAACCTGCCCTAGTAATATATAGTTTAGTTTTCCATGTACATCCATCTCCCAACCAGGTACAAAGCCAAGCCCTGTTTGTATTGTACTTTGAACAATGCAGGTTCTGGTTAGGTGTCCATATATATGTAACCGGAAGGGTTTGTGTTGTTTAGAGAGTGTAGCCTCTGGACAGGAAGTAGAAACTTGAGCTGGGAACTTGTTAGGGGTACTTCTCTAGATCTGCTGCATCAGAACCTGGGGCTGGGACCCAGCAGCCTGTTTTAATAAGACCTCCAGGCAACCTCCAGTTGTATACCCTGCTTTCAGAACACTCTTCTAACTCTGCATGACTTAATTCCAGGCCAGGTGAATCAAGTATTAATCCTTAACCGCTGCCTTACATAAGTACCCTGCTCTTGACTTGTGTGGTGCCTCTTTTCCAATTTTAACATTCTAAAGCAACACAATATTTTATTTTACCATTAGGTATTCAATATTCCATATCTAGTGGGAGATACTGATCTGAAAATCTTACTTCTTTGAAAAATGGACCTTGCTGTATATTCCAGACCAGTCTTGAACTCATGATCTTCCTGCCTCTGCCTCCTGATTGCTGTCCATACTTGGCTTGACCCATTCTACAAAGCAAAACTCTGAGCATACCTGGTTTTCTCTATAGTGCCTCATCCTTGAATATTGCCTGTCTTTCCTATGCTATCAGCTCTATACAGGTAAGTCTTCATTATTTTTGTATCTCTTGCACAAGTCCTAATACAAATAATAGGTTTTCAATGAATATTTGCTAAGTGAATGAACTCAATACCCAGGTGCCTACCACAATACCTTGCTGGCCACTTTCATTCATAAAAAGGGGAAATGAAGATAAGATTAAAATAGATATGCTTTACATTAGTATAATTCATAAATATTTCTAAATAAATTATAACCTCAGAAGGATTGTGAGTTTGAGGCCAGCCTAGGCTACATAGCAAGACTTGTGTTTTAAAAACCTGAAACTGGGGGAGGGCTTCAGAGATGACTCAGAAGAGCATTGACTGCTCTTGCAGAGTTGCTGGGTTCAGTTCCCAGGTTCCCAGCACCCACTTGGTGGCTAACAACCAAGCAACCACCCATTAGGCCAGTACCAGGGATCCAATGCCCTCTTTTGTCCTCCACAGGCAATGCATGCACATGGTGCACTTACATACATGCAGGCAAAACACTTATACATATTTTTTAAAAAAACCAAACCTAAAACTGGAGGCCAGGCTTGATGGCACATACCTTTAATCCCAGCACTCAGGAGGCAGAGGTAGGTGGATCTCTCTGAGTTTAAAGCCAGTCTGGCCATTCAGAAGCTACATAGTGAGACCCTGTCTCAAAAATACTTGAAATTGGACCAGTGGGATGGCTCAGTGGGTAAAAGGTGCTTGCTATGTAAGAATGATAACCTGAGTTTGAGCCCCAGAACCCACATAAAGACAGGAAAGAAACCAACTCCACAGAGATGTCCTTTGACCTTCACATACATGCGTTCCCCATCACATACACATGCCTACACATACAGTAACAAAACCTTAAGCAGATTTTGAGGTAGGAAGCAGGCCTATACTTTAGCCCCAATTTGGGTTCACCATGTGAGGAAGGTAGCACACCCGCAGTTCGACCCCAACTCCTGTTCACCATTGAGATTGTTGCTGTGCTCAGCCTTCATCAGAGGAGCTTCGTATAGAGTGGGCAGTGGTAATGCAGAAACCAACAACTGGCCAAAGTGCTTAGAAGTGATGGTGGAGTGCTCAGCCCTAAAGGGGACAGAATCTCACCTCCTTCCAGACTCAGGGAACATGATCGAAGAGGTGGGCAGAAAGAACTTAAGAGCCAGAGTATGGAAAGATGTGTAGCAAAAAGAAGTGTTTTGGACATGACATGGGTGTTGCACTCATGAGCTCACTGCAGCTATGATTCTCTGCGCAAGATGGTCCAGCAACATTTCATTACGGATGGATGAGTGCACCCATGAGGCCCCACCCCTCCTCGAGGTAGTTAACGGTTGCTGGGGGAGATGTAATTTTCCATAGTGGTGTAGCTACTGGTAACTTGCCCGAGTTCCAGTAAATAACTTCCCTCCCCCACCCATGTGCTCCTACAGGCAACTATAAACTCAGTGGGTTGTACACAAAGTTACAACATGAAAGGAAGAGGGGGACTTATTGGGAAGAAGGGTTTCAGCAGCAGAGGGAGGGGATGAGAAGGGAAAGTGGGTGTGAAAATGACTAAAGTTCATTATGCACATACATGAAACTGCCTGAGAATTAAAGAAATTGGAATAACTCAAATGGCTTCAAAAAATTATTTGTGGGTGTGTGCCATGTCACATGTGTGGAGGTCGAAGTTATCCCTTCTACCTTGTGAGTTCCGTGATTGAACTTAGGGTGAAAGGCTTGGTGGCAAGTGCTTTTCCCTGCTGAGCCATCCTGCCAGCTCTTCAAATAACTAAAGACAAAACAAAACAGCCTGAGACAACCACAGGTTGCCATCCAGTAGCAGTAGCACACCCTGACTGCTTCATCCACAAAGGAGAAAACAACTGGAAAATGTGCAGGGTGTTAAATGCTGTGCCAGTAAAACAGAAGAAACCAGGGCTGGAGAGATGGCTCAGAGGTTAAGAGCACTGACTGCTCTTGCAGAGGATCCAGGTTCGATTCCCAGCACCTACATGGCAGCTGCAAACTGTCCTTAACTCCAGTTCCAGGGGAATCCAAAGCCCTCTTCTGACCTCCACTGCATTGCACGACATGGGTGCACTCAGTTACATGCAAGCAATACACTCATACACATAAAATGAAAATAATAAAATATTAAAAAAAACAAAAACAAACAAACAAAAAAAAACAGAAGAAACCAGGCATGGTGACACAGACCTTCAGTCCCCAGCACTTGGGAGGCAGAGGCAGGTGGATCTCTGAATTCGAGGCCAGCCTGGTCTCCATAATGAATCCAGGCCAGCTGAGGCTATAGGGAGACCCTGTCTCAGAAAAAAGACAAAAAAACTTTAAAAATAAAAAAACAAAAGCAAGAAAGATGAGGCCAGATGTAGTAACCAGTGCAGGAAAAAATGTGAGTGGGAATGGCTGCATACCACAGATCTCTCCTAAGAGACTACGTAGGAGGCAAAAATAGCTTTAAAAATACGATAATAAGACTCGTTATGTTTAGCTATTTTCTGGATTCTCAATGACTTAACCCAAAATGAATCCAATCAAATGAAAAACTGACACCTGATATAGAGAAGATAAGGAACTTGTCCTCACAAAGTAACACAGCAGCTGGGGACAGTATTTGGTCTCCTGATTATCATGCCAGTATCATGACCCATCTGTTCTTGTGGAAACCATAAAAATGATGTCAAAGTAAAAAGCAAACTTTTGGGGTTAAGAACAGTTGCTTTGAAGTTAGGAAAGCCAGCTGTATTAATAAGAATGCAGCTGGGGGAGGTGGTGCTTGCCTTTAATCCCAGCACTTGGGAGGCAGAGGCAGGTGGATCTCTAAGATGGAGGCCAACTTGGTCTACATAGAGAGTTCAAGACCAGCTGGAGCTCCAGGAAGACCCTGTCTCAAAAAGAGCAAAAAACAAAAGAATCCAGGGCTGGGCGTGGTGGTATACGCCTTTAATCCCAGCAGAGGCAGGTGGCTGTGAGAGCAAAGCTAGCCTGGTCTACGTAGGGTGTTATAGGCCATCTAGGGCTACAAGAAGACCCTGTCTCAACAACAAAGAATAAGAATCCAATTACTTATGGATGCAAATTCTAATCTGTCAAGGTTTTCTGTTGGGTACTGTAGGTCTGGACTGAAAATGTCCTTTTGGAGTTATATTTTCCTCATTCTCTTCTTGCAGCGCTGGTTGAAAACGGGAGAGGACCCCATGAGGCTGTCAGTGGAATGGGAACCATAGCTGCTGTCTGAGTCATCAGGGCTCTGAGGAATCCCAGCTTCACTCATGCCTGACATAGGCTCCTCAAAGACATCGCTGCCCAGCACCCCATGGCCAGTCACATTGCCTTCTTTGCTCTCTTGAGGCTCCATTTTCACATGGGCCAGGTTCCAGAGAGGAGAGGCATTTACCTCTGTACCTAGAAATGAAGAACATAACTCAATGATAAACCCAGTACAGACAAACTGAACATCCTACCAGGGCTGACCAGTGTCCTCTGAGCTCAGTTTTCATTCCAATTCCACACATGGACTGAGGGTGTAACTGTTAGTCTATGGTTCAAAACGTTATCTAAAAATTACCAACTTCTGTTCTACTTCTATCAATTCTTTCCCTCACCCGTCCCCATTTTCCTTATACCAGGAAAGTCAAATGTGGGTGGAAAGATTTCCTGTCTTAGGTCCACAGGCAGACAGAATTCTGGGCCTTGTTCAGATAGTTAAGTCTGCCTGTCCTTTTCTTTTCCTTTCTGAATGTGCAGGCAGGGAGGCATCAGGTGTCTTCCTCTCTTGCTCTCTGTCTTACTGCCTTGAACCAGAAGCTTGCCTGTCTTCATCCCCCAGTACTGGGATTACAGGCATACACAGCCATGCCTGGCCTTTTACATTGGGTACTGGGTCTTGAACTTAGGTCTTTATGCTTGCACAGCACCTGAGACTTCTCCCTAGCTCCTCATTCTTTTCTCCTTCCTTTTGTAAAAGGGGCTGCCTTATTTTCCTGCCTTTTTCTTTTTTTTGGTTTCTCCTAGTCCTCTTTCACTTTTTGGGGGGACACGGTTTGGGACAGGGTCTCCCTGTAGCCCCATCTGGCCTTTAGATAAGGCTGGCCTCCATCTCAGAGATCTGTCTGCCTCTGCCACCTGAGTGCTGGGATTAAAAGTGTGCCTAACTGTGCCTGGCCTCTCTCACATTGTGAAAACTGGATGATCACTACATAACGCTGACATTAGTTCCCCACCTGTCTCCCCTTGACAAGAGACATGGTCCTTAGTCCCCCCAACCTCCCTGTTTGAGTGCTGTTCTGCTGTATTATTTCTTTCTCAGTGAAAGGCCTCCACGCTTTCAATACACTTTTTTTTTCAACACAACTAATTTTGTTTGGGTCACATTTGAGAATCTGCTGTTGAAATCAGTATAAACTGATAAAGTGACAATTTATGCTTATAAATAATCAAGTGCACAAACTAACTTGCAACTTAACTGACTCCAGTAGTGAGTCAGGCAGGGTGTAGTGTGGCACAGTAATCCTAGCACAGGAGGCCAAGCAGGGGGGATCTTGAATCTGAGACAACCTAGACTACCTAGAGGACACCTTGTTTCAACAACTAAACAAACAAATACAATTGTCTAAGAGAGAAAAAAGTAATGAGTCAGTTATCCAGGTTCTTGAGGTCATTACAGCTAGAGCCTACAAGAGCCCAGCTGCTCCAACAGGCAGACTTATTTCATCCCTTTCATCTACATTTTTTGGAATTCTCATTCCAACAAATACAACTGAACTGTTCAACGAAGACCTCAACCCCTCTCCAGCCCTGTCATCTACCTGTCATCTTAATGAAGTTGATGCTTATTCTTTTGAATAAGCATCAGGAAGGGCTAACAGAATACTAAAGAACGGGACATCTGCTTAACCTGGTATGTCAGCTGAACCCACCTTGATAATCAACAGAACACCACCATATAGTGCATCCAGACCCTAACCACAGTACTGTAAAGGATACCTGAAAAGCTGTGGAGTCTTCCCTTCACCAACTAGAAGAATGAAGCCCTGCATCTTGGGATCATTGCACTCTGTCTCAGGACTTTCCCTTCTGCCCGCTCCTGTGTTCTCTCAGAGTGTGATTCCAGAATCAAAACGAGCACACTTCTTTTTCTTACTTGAAGCCTGTGGAGAAGCTTCCACCTCCAGGTTGGATGGGAAGCGCTCACTCTGTGCCCCAAGGACTCCCATGGGCAGGGACTGATCGCCAGAAGCAAGGTCGGCTTCCGGTTCCTCGCTGACAGGAAACGTGATGTCACTCACAGGTTCCTCCTTGATCTTCATGGGTTTAGTGTCTTCTGTGGCCTTTTCAGGATTGACAATCCTTTCATATTCTTCAGAGAGCTGCTTACTAATCTGTTGACAAGCAAGAGGTGGTTTTCCAAGAATTTTAGAATTGGATTGGATAGTCAACTTGTGGTACCCCATGAAAGACCCAACAATATGAGTTAACAGCTAAGTCAAATTTACTTTTTCTTCATTATTATTTTCTCTGTGTACGTGCATATGAGCATGTGTTGCACACATGTGTATGCATATATGTGGAGATCAAGAGGACAACCCTGGTGGTCCTTCCTCAGATGCCTTCTACCTTTTGTTTGAGATGGAACTTTGCAAAGTAGGCTAGACTAGCTGGCCAGTCTCTATCTGCCACCTCACCACCAATGAAATTACAAGTGTGTGCCACCACATTCAGCTTTTATGTGGGTTCTGGAAACCTGAATTCAGGTCCTCACCCTTGTGAGGCAAGTACTTTACCTACTAAGCCATCTCCTTGTCCGACAGACAAGTTTTAAAAGTTCTTCTGTTAGGGCTAGGTGTGTAGTTGAGCGGTAGAGTGCATACTTACATTGTACAAGGCCATAAGGTCAACTAAAAACAACAAAAAACAGCTTTCACTGCCAACTGGAGGAAGCTTGTTACGGTGTTGAGTTTGCATTTATATGTGATAGAGTCATATAAAGAAAATGTGTCAGAAAAAGTAATTATCATCAAAGTTACATAAAGATATGTAATCCAGAATGGAGACAAAAAACCTAACATTTCTCTGGGCATGGTGGCATATGCCTGTTATCTTAGCACTTGGGAGGTTGAGGCAGAAGGATGGAGAGTGAGGCTGGCCTGGACCACATGGTGAGATCCTGTCTCACAAAACAAAAACCTCTGAAACATCTGGCATATATACCTTATAGGTGAATACTGGATGATGTGGAAATCTGGATCACTAAGCAAAGTCTTTTTTTGTTGGATGCTAAAAGTTACTGGTCATTTTAAATACATAGAAATTGAAAAGAAACTGCTAAGGCCTCTAGGATTGAAGAGATACTGTGGTCTAAACAAAAATGGGGCCCCCCACCCCCAGGCATCCTCCAGTATTTCATTCTGTTTTGTTTTCAACAGCATTTAACATGATCTGAAATTGGTATGATTATTTGTTTACATGTTATTGCTTCTCTGGGACACTGAAGCTCAAAGAATTTATCTTATAAATTTCTATATCCCACCAATGCCTGACTCACAATAAGCCCTCAATAAATATGTGTTGAAAAAAAGAATGGTAACCACATTGCCCGAGACTCCAGATACTTGTGTATTTCTAAGATTTGATTTATTTTTGTGTGTGTTTGCATGCATACACACACACATTTGTGGGGGTGCCTGCAGAGGTGAGAAGACACTGGATCCCCTGGAGCTGGAGTTACAGGTTTCCCGACATTGTAAGCTTCCTGATGTGGGTGCTGGGAAGCAAACTCCAGTCCTCTGCCGGAGAAGCAAGGACTCTTGACCAGTGAGCCTCCAGCCTCATCTGTGTACTTCTTCCAGAGGAAGTAACAATGAGTGGCAGCCCACTGATGGAAAGAGACCTTGGTGTCTTTCTAGCTCAGTGGTGAGAACAGTGAAACACAACATAGGCCATTAGAAAAGCATTAGGGGCTGGAGAGATGGCTCAGCGATTAAGAGCACTGGCTGCTCTTGCAGAGGACCCAGGTTCATTCCCAGTTCCCAGAATGGCAGCTAATAACCATCTTGTTCCAGGACATCCAGTGCCCTCTTCTGGTCTCTGCAGGCATTGCATGCATGTGGTGCACTTATATACCTGCATGCAAAACACAGTCCCCAGACTGTGACATTTTTGCCCACTTTTCATACGGTCACCTCACCTGTAGCATGTAAGTGTGATAGTCCTTGATGCGGTGCTGCCAGAACTTCTGGAGGGAGAGCACACTGCCAATCCCCACTTCATGGAATACCTGCTCCATTACATCAGGGAAAGGAGTCTGTCCAAGCAGAGCCTCCCGGTCTACAGCAAAGCGCAGCAACTTGGTAAACTTAAGGCAGTATTCATGTGCCACATCAGTTAGGGTCTCCAGAACACTTTCATTAGCACACTCAAAGCCTGCATGGGCCAGGATCGTGGCCACTGCTTGGTAGAGGAGCTGCCGACAGGAGTGCCAGCTGAGTTCAGTCACAGGTTCTCCTTTTCCACTGAAAGTGGAGACATGGAAGTGTTATTCATGTTCTTACCAAGGGTGACCAGCCTGTTTCGCTAAGAGCTTTACAATTCCAGTTATCACTGGCCTAGTTTTCCAAGGAAAATCTTGGTCTTTATCTTGTTCTCAGGGCATGTGTCAACCCACAGTCACAGCTCTGAGCCTCCCAATTACACAGTTTGAACAGGCAGAGCATGTCTATACTAAGCAATACAAGAAGAAGGTAATGCATGTCCCACTGTACAGAGATTAGTGAAGGGCTGGAGAGATGGCTCAGTCAGTAAAGTCCTTGCCTTGCAAGCATGAATACCAAGAGTTCAATCTCCAGAACCCACATAAAAGTCAGGTGTGGTGGTGCATGATTATAATCCCAGCACTCAGGAGGTAGAGACAAGTGCATCCCTGGGATTCTCTGACCTCCACACATATGCACATGCACTTACACACACACACACACACACACACACACACACACAAACTGATTAGTAAAAAAGGAAGCTTCCAGTCAGGCATGGTGGTGCATGCCTTTAATCCCAGCATTTGGGAGGTAGAGGCAGGGGGGGCTTTTTTGGGTTGAGGGCAGGCCGGGCTACATAATGAGGTTCAGGACACCGGGGGGGCGGGGGGGGGCCGGCTTCAAAAAAAAAAAAAAAAAAAAAAAAAAAAGGAAGCTTCTTTTTACCAAAGGCTCTGTTTTGATCACATGTAGCATGTAGGATTAATTTTAACAGCAGAGCTTATGGCCAGGGGTAGTGGTACATGCCTATAATTCCAACACTTGGAAGGTAGAGGCAGGAAGATTAGGAGCTCATGACCAGACTCAGCTGCATAGCAAGTCTGAAGCTAACCTGGGCTTCATGAGTCTCTCTCTCTCTCTCTCTCTCTCTCTCTCTCTCTCTCTCTCTCTCTCTCTCTCTC